CCCTTTTGATCTAGCTAGAAATTAATTTTTTAGTAAATTTTGATATAATTTAATGAAATTTTTGATTTAAAAGTTAATAAAAGTTGTGGTTCCATAAAATAAAGGATTGACGTTTAAGAAAAAATGAATTTTAANAGGATTGACGTTTAAGAAAAAATGAATTTTAAAAATTAGGGCCAAACAAGACATATTAATATTTAGAAGAATATTATAATATCTCTTTCAAATAAGTACAAACTTTGTACTGATCAATATTCTAGAAAATGTTGTGCCGATCATGGAGAATGACTTCATATACAACAATATCCTAGAGCGTGTTGTTCTTGAAGAACAACTTTATACATATTAATTTTTTTTTAAAAAAAATATATTATTTATTTATTTTCAAAATCCAGAAGAATTATAATTATGCACGATGCGATATTCAAAATAAATTTATTGTTATTATGGACTAATATAACGCGATGATCGTATGATATTATTTATTCACAACTTGAACTTTACAATGTTAATTGCTCAAATTTTAAACTGTGATCATAATTTTCATATTAAGCAATTTAGACAGTTTGTCTTGTCAATATTAGGAGTCTACATATGAAATTTTTAATAAATTTTACTTGGGATGACAATAAATGGCGAACATAACAATTTCATAGGAAAGTGGCGGTGGTGGTTGTGGTTCGACAAGGGTAGGTCGAGTTGGTTGGAGAAAGAAGAGATTTTTTTATTGGAATTCGTTTGCACATTTTTTAAAAATTAGAGGCTTAGATTGCAATCATTTCTTTATTTTTTACCTTTTTTTACTTTTTTCGTTTATTTAAATAGAATGATAAATTCATCATTTTACAAGGTTTTAATAGAGAAAATGAGCGTAAAGAACGATTTGCACAATTTTCCCTCACTATTTTGATCATTTTTAGAGGGGCGACGTCATGGTCCTTCTCTCTTTCAAAATCCAAGAACATCTTCTTAGTGGATTCCTAAAAAATTTACCACAAAATGGACAGTGTTTCTCACCAATGCAATTTGATAACAGACAGGATTGTCAAGTTGGTGTTGTAAGAAAAGACATTGTGAAGAATTTCGTCTAAATTCAGAAGGTAGCGAGTCAAAAATATTAATTTACAAAAACGTTATGATGTTATTCTATTTAAATATTAAAGTACATCCAGGCAACAATATTAGGATGTAGATAAGATCCATTAGAGATCCATTTGAAGTTTGTCTTTCTATTCATTAAGTAATAAGTATCAACACGTCAACAACAAATCTTTGAACTTGTATTTCACCTAATGACAATTTATAGAATGCATCGAAGATGCTAGGAGTCGTGTCAAGTTTGAGAATTGAAACTCTAATGCTGTGACCCTTTACGTCGTTTTTACTTTTTCGATTTTCTTTTAAAAGAGTTTTTAAACTTATATTAACCGACTCAACATCATGGGCGGATTCAACATTTTCGTTCAGCTAGGGCGAAGACTGTTGACCGGTGACCGATGATCGTTGATCGGTGACTGTTGATCGATCAACGATCGTAATAACCGAAAATAAAATTCAATACATAAATAAATGTATTAAAACGTAAAAAGTATACATATGAAAATACACAAACATCTTCTCCATTAATTTTTTTCACTTATCCCTAAGTTTCCTAAAAATCTAAATTCCCAAATCACAAATCAAAATTACAGGGCATAACTCACACAATAATATAACATAAATTCTCATTTCTCAAAATTCATAAATCACAAATCACAATTCACAAATTCACAAAAACTAAAAAAAAAAAACCTAAAATCACATATTCATTATTCATAGCATTTATAGCAACTGCCAAGTGCCAACTACTAGTCTCTAGCAATATTGAAATGAAGAAGAAGCATGTGAGTGAGCAAATACCTTTTTATCCTTAGGTGGCTTACAACAAGGAGCACCTATCATTAAGTGACTTACAATAAGGAACACTTATCATTAAGTGACTTACAACAAGGAGCACTTATATTTAGGTGACTTACAACAAGGAGCACCTATCCTTGAGTTTTCACAAGGCTCTCGAAATCGTAAAAAAATAAGTGATAATTTTACAATACAAAAACTCTCTTAACAAATGATATAATCAAGTTAAGTATTAGAGAGTTGGGTAAACACTTCAATAGATAGCAAATAATAAAGCTCAAGTGTTGATATTATAAACTTTGATGAATAATGAATAATGAAATAGTTTGTATCTTTATATTAAAGTTTTTCAACCAATTATCTATCTTAACAAATAATACAAGTTAAGTATGAAGAGAGATTTACACTTTAATAAAAGTGTTGGCAAAGAAAACCTTTATCAAGAATTGAAGAATAGATGAGATTGAGAAAGTTTCTTTGCAAAAAGAAATCT